ATATTTTATCAGTATTACCTTCAAAAGGATTTTACTATTGTGACACAATTCAAAAGACAGCTCTTGCCCTTGTGGTTGTTCAGGGAAAAAAGTTAGAAGAAACAAAGGCGAACTCTGGCAGATTTGTATCGAGGCTGCTGTCACCGACCCTGAGATTAGCGCTGACGACTGGGAAGTGCTGAGACACGATGCTGTGAAAAGAGCTGTGAAATCACTTGCTACCCATTGTGGCAGGAAGGCGATGGACATTTACTGAACACTCAGAGCATGGGTTTTTATAAACAGGCAGACATGGGCTCAAATCCCAGCTCTGCCCTTTAGTAGCTGAGTGGCCTTGGGCCTTTAAGTCTCAGTTTCCTCATCTGTGAAGGGGGCCTGACAAGGCTCACGTGGCAGGACTGCCTTACTGATTAGAGAGAATGCGTGAAACACTCAGTACTGTGCCTGCCACAGGACCCTTGTTGTTATGATGGCAGGTGCTATGTTATCTACGTTTGTTATCTCGCTTAATCCTCACAACCCCCTCTCAAAAAAAAATGCTGTTATTTCCACCAATAGAAAGTGAGGCTCAGAGAGGTCCCTCTATTTGCCCCGGGACACACAGCTATTAGAGGTCAGGTCAGGATTAGTCTCCTGCACCTGAAGCCTGTGTTCTCCGCTTGTCCTGGCTGTCTGGCTGCCACCTCCTGTTTCATAGGCCACCCCACTGCTGACTTACCTAAGAACAGAAGGAAATATCCTCTGGATGATGACATACAATAAAAAAAGGGAAACAAAAATCTTTGGTTATCTCCCTGGCACATGGCAATGTTCTGAAAAGGGCTATTTGGATCAGAAGGAGAAGAATTGCCCTTCCCCTTGTAAGTGGAGTTCTGCCTGAGAAGGCCCAGCAGGTTGCTGAAGCTGCAGAGCTCACTGTGGCAATGAGTGTCCACACTTAGCTTTTTGCTGGGTGATCTGCTGCCTGATCGTGTCAGAATCTTCTAATAGTTCCATATTCCCAAGAGAGTTACGTATACATTCCTCCTGATTCTGGCTTTATGCTCTTCTACTGGGGTGTGGGCTGGGGGGCAGGGGAGGCAGTGCAGGAGGCTCTGGAAACAATATGGAGTAACTTAAGAAGAACTAAATATTGATGAAATGGTTTAGGAGCTCAATGCAAGGGAGATGGGGAACTATATACAGCCCAGCCGGGTGGACCGCCCTCCTCACCAAAAATGCCTCTCTCACCCCATCTCACCCTGTCTTACCAAGAACCCTCTTGATCAAACCAAAAATGTAGAAACCCCACTGAGTTCTCCCTTCTCTTCATTTTCCACACCTGATCTATCGACAAATGTTAATGTTTCCATTTCCAAACTGTACTCAGCATCCGCCCATGTCTACCCATCTTCACAATGGTCACAAACCCTGTTCCTGGTCACTAACATCTGTCCCCGGTGCCACTGCGGCAGCTTCCTGAATGGTCTCCCTCCAGCCCAATGGCCTGTTGACATTGTTTTCAGCATCACCATCCTACTTTGTTGTGGTAATTTACGTCTCTATGTTGCACCCCTCCGTTTCCTCCAAGAGGATGCCAACTCCCTGAGGGCAGGGACCAAGTCTGTTTCATTCCTCCCATTATCCCAACTGCTGACACACTGAAGCTTCTTGAGAAACATACACGGGGTAAATGAAAGAGGGTGTCAATACATCGTTTGAAATATTAAGTTATACCTGAAATTTGCCAGCTAAGAAGGTTCTCCTGAGACTGACTTCCTAGACCAGCGGGGAAAGATTTCTGAGAAGAACATGAAAACAATGTATTGGGAACAGTCTGGAGCAGGGCTTACAAGCACAAAGGTCTCAGGGCTCAAGCAGGGAATGGGAAGGGGGAGGCTGCCTCGTGTAAACCACAATGATTAGGGGTGAGGGATTTCACAACCTGGAGACCCCCCAGCTTCAGCTGATGCAGTTTTATCAGCTCCAGCTGACTGTATGTGAGTGGCAACAGGGCCTAGGGATGAAAGGTGCTCCAAGTTTTGAAAAGAAGATGGAAAGTTTATGTATCAATTAGAATTAGGTTTAGCTATGAGTAATGAGGCAGTTTAAATGAGGTCAAAGTGTATTTCTCTTTCTCAAAACAATGCCTGGAGTGTGCAGTCCTGGGCTAGTAGGGACTCAGTGGAATCAGGGGCTCAGGCTTCTTCTAATTTGTTTCTCAGCGTGGTATGTCTTCCATTCCAAAGTCACCTCATGGCCTAGTGGGCTGCTGTGGATCCAGCCATTGCCTCCTCATTCCAGGAAGCAAGAGGGAAAAAAAAAGAAAGGACCTGATCATTCTTTTATAAGGAGACTTTCTGGAAGCTTTCATGCCTCACTCATTTCATTTCACTGGTCAGAGCTTAATCATGTAGCCACTCCTAGCTGCAGAGGAAGCTGAGAAGTGTACTCTTTATTCTAAGTGGGCATGTGCTCAGCTAAGGAAGAAGGGGAGAATGGAGCTCTAAACTAGGAGTCTCTACCAGAGCAAGCTCTTCCTATAAATCTCTCAAGTTTTAACACCACTATAGCCAAATAAAGCATGTCTGCCATCTGGTTTAGCAGAATGGAGTTTTGTGAACCCTGCTCGCAAGAGCAAATTTAGATGGCGTTCATTTCCACAGCACGTGGGCAGCCAGTGAGTGCAGCTAGTGAGGATCATACCCAGGTAGAGGTCAGCAGGGCTCAGACAGGAAGGGCAAACAGTTCAGGGACCCTGGGAGGTGGGAGTAGGAGTGTTGGAGGGCAGCAGGAAAAGGGTGAGGATATAGTCCTTCCCCTGCACATCCAAGAAGTGCTTGGGGTACTGGCAGAATGGGGAGGCCCTGGCTGCCATGGCTCCACTCGCCTTTAGGCTTTAGCAGCAGTTCTGACGGGTGCAACTTCAATCTCCTCTGAATTGTGTAGAAGTCTCTCTTCTTTCTGACCTTCACCAAAGGTGCCCTGTCACAGGTCAGAGTCATCCCTCTGGGGGAATGAGCCACACCAAAACCTCCCAAGAGCTCACTGGCCCTTTCTAGTTACGGCCACCACCTTCTTAGACTTGGGCACAGTGTTGTCTCTGGCTCCAGGACAATCCCCCTCCGAGTGGCTGCATCTCCCAGCCATACTAGGCCTTCTTGCCAGGAAAGGTACCACGTGACACGGTGGGAAAAGCACTGGATTTGCAGACCAAGTTGTCTCACTTGAATTGCAGTTCCCTCACTTGTGGGTTGAATGGACTACAAACATAATACTTTCATGACTATAACTTGATGCTAATAGGGTTCTCCTTACTTATTTGATGAAACTTTTTGGAGCATGCATAGCACCACTTATGTGAAAGGTCTTTGCTTAAAAGAGAAAAAAATCTAAGCAGCTCTACATATAAATTTAAGGTCCTAGTAAAGATTCATTGTAACTGCCTGTATGTTTGAAATTGAGAACTTTATTGACATAAACTTTGCAATAGAAAGTGTTATGCTAATAAGAAAGTAAGAATTAAGTCCTATATCATATACACATGAAAATTTGCCAGATAAATTTCCGGTAACATTGCTTAGCTTCTGGTCACTGTCTCGGTGAAATCCAGGTTCTGCAGAGGTGCAGACCACATATGCCCTTTATTCCCTTCTCCCCCAGAAGTGAGAATCTGTTTCTGTGTATTGGGGTGGCCAAAAAGGTCATTTGGTTTTTCCCAAGATGGCTCTAGTAGCACTTAGTTGTCTTTAATTTCATTCAAAAGCGATTTTGTTAGATTGTATTATGACAGCTGCCATATCAGTGTGCATGTACAAAAAAATCAAAGCTGGTTAATTTCTGCGTAGCCATTTTAATATTGAAGATGGAAGAAAATACGTAACATTTTTGGCATGTTATGCTTTATTATTTCAAGAAAAGTAGACATGCAATTGAAATGCAAAGAAAGATTTGTGCAGGGCATGGAGAAGGTACTGTGACTAATCCATCAAGTCAAAAGCAGTTTGTGAGGTTTCGTGCTGGAGATTTCTTGCTGAGCGATGCTCTGTGGTCAGGTGACCAGTTGAAGTTGACAGTGATCAAATTGAGACATTGAGAACACTTAACATGATACCACCCAGAAGATAGCCAACATGCTCAAAATATCCAGATCAACACAGTTATTGGTGAAAATGAAAAAAGTGTCTTTTGTTTTATGGAAAAAACCATACAGATTTTTTGGCCAACCCAATAAAACAGAGATACCCTTTTAAGTCGATAAATTCCGAACAACATGCAGCAGCTAAGTGATGAAGAACAAAGCTGTACAGAGAAACGAGGCTTGGCCTGCGGCTGACAGCAGTGACCAGTGAAGGGACCGCCCGACACAAAAACACTTGCACGTGCCCTGGGAGAGTGAGCCCTTGACCTTGCAGGAGCAATGCCAAGCTTTGGCAGTTGGGAGCTCCTGCTAAGTAATGCCAGTGGGGACATGGGAGTATAGGTTTTGCCTTTATTTTATTATTATTTAAAAGTTCAAGACAAAGTTCCTCAAGAGCCCTTTCTCAAAGAATCAGAAAATGATAGAGGGTTGGGAAAACTGTAGTTTTGTGCATGGTAAAAGCCTTGTACAGTGATTAGGAGGAAACCCAGAAGTTAAGGCAGAAACCTGCCCTGAATATAAAAGTGAGATTACGCCGCAGGGCAATGCCCAGTGCAGTAGTCAGTCTCCTCATCACGAAGTCCACTGTCAGATTCAGAACACACAGTGGCGACTAGCCGGACTCCAAATCTCTCAGCATCTGCGTGGTGCCTGACACAGGGTCGGCATTTAATGTTTTATGAACAAATAAACAATCTACTGAAAGAAGGCAGGAAGGAAAGAAGGAAGGAAGGGAGGGAGGAAGGAAGGGAGGGACACTCCCTGCTTGTGTCTGAGGAATAACGGAGTCGGCAGGTGAGGAGACGGAGTGTCTGGGCTGTGACCTGCTGCTGTCAGTTCTCTGGACTATGTGGATAAGCACACACCATCAGGCTGCCTGTTTTAGCTACACATGAGTTTATTGGTATCATTTGGTACAACTTCAGTCCCTCCTTTCCCAAGCCCATGCTACATTACTTTAGAGGAAAATACTTCTACTTTACCGTGTTTAAAGAAATGCTAGAAAAATTTATTTCTACTAAAACATATGGTTGTTGGGGTTTTTTTTGTTTTGTTTTGTTTTTTTTTGCTGCATCAGCTACCTGACTCTCAACACAGTGCATGTCAATCTAATGTCAGTGTGAATGCACGTCTGCCAGGCACTGGCTTTCCAAAGCGATTCCTTTGCAGATGCCAAAATGGCTCGTCCTGGAGCTGCGCACAGAGAGGGTGAGGGAAGCCATGTGTGCCGCCAGCCAGCATGTTCTGAATTTCTCTCCCTCTCCTGAGCAGTGTCCACTCTGTGAGTAACAGTTGCAAATGACCTGACCAGAGAGAGAAAATACTCAAGAACACAAGCAAAGGGAACTGGACAGCTATAAAGAATGCAATGTCTGGCTGAGCTGCTGGGGGCGTCCCTGACTGGATGCACTGACCATGACCACTGTGGTTTTATGGCTCAGCGGGCGACATGGATGCCAGCATGGGGTAGGGTCATAGGAGGGGGAGGAATGGGTGTGACTGCATCCCACGGACCTCCCAAAGACATGTGTGCCGTGGGTGTTGGCAGGGTTAGTCTGAGCTCAGGAAACAAGAATAACAGGAGTTTTCCTGCTTCTTGATTTCTCACATATCTGGGTTTAAAGTTGGGTGAGAGCCAGGTTGTAAGCGAACACAGCACACTTTGTGATGGCGGCATTCAAAAAGAAAGGATGGAGGAACAAGCCGGCCTGAAACAGCGCACACCACGGTGGCCAGGAGAGCACAGAGCGGACACGTGACTCTTTCACCCCCGGAACCCACCACTGCTGCTTTCTCTGCATTGCATAAACTGGCCTGTGGCTTTAGCTCAGCTCTCCTAAGTCAGACCTAACTGTGGACGTTGCAAAGAGGCAAACTGAACTGCTCTTTTTCAGTTTATGACCATATGTGAGGACTGTGCCAATACATTTATGTGGAAAACCAGAGGCTGAGAATGTCCCAGCAGCTCGGGCAGCTGTTGGCTGCTGGGTAGACAGTCAGTCTCTCAAGGCACTCAGCAGCGCTCACGTTCGGCACACACTTCTTCAAGGCTCCTTGGTGGGGCCCAGTATGTGAGGGGCACCAAAGACGCCCACTGCCCTTCTAGTTAGATGCTCGGCTAGTTGACGCAGTTCTTTGTGATTCTTCGACTTCTGTCTGCCTGCCGGATGCTGTCCGTAACATTAATGGTCACTTCTTTTGCAGGCATTCGCTTAGTGTCTCTTTTAGCCTGTTAAACAAAGTTAACATGACGAATTAGTTACTAGAAGGTATTCAAAAGTCCTCACATTTGCACCAGTCTCTTGAGATTGCTACACACATATGGATGGACACACATACGCACACACACATGCACGCAGGAAGAATGACTCACAAGAACACACGCACCTGTGCTGCTTCTCACAGGCTTCTCGGTTGAATCTCTAATACCAAACACCAAGCCTCGCACACAGCCTGACATAAGGCATGCTCAGTAAAGTTTTCTCAAATGAATGAACTAAGGTTCATCAAAGCATAACGTGAAAGGTTTCACAGTTGGTTTCAGTAAAGTAGTTAAGGGTTTTTGATCTTTGGAGTCAGACAGATTTGGTTTAAACACTGACCATATAACACTGGGCAAATTTTTCCAAACCTCTCCAACCTTTAGTTTCCTCTTCTGTAAAGTGGTGAATAATAATAGTACTTTTTCCATAATGTTATTATTTAAGGATTAAATAAGATAATGCATGTAAGGTACTTAGTGCAACCCCTGTCATTTCATTTTTAAAATAAAATTGAAAACAAAAAGACTTAGTAAGCATAAGTAAAAACTGGAAAAGAGTATTCACTCCTAAGTGAAGGTACACCAACGATAAAATTCCAAGGTTCATATTAAATCCTAAAGCATTGACGAAACTGTGGGATCTTCAGTCATATGTCCCCAACTCCCCCACACTCCGCCAAGGGGGAACAGCTTCCACTAGTGAGGGCCGATTCTGTGCCCCTTCCACTCAATGACCACAGGCTTCATGTGAGCCTGAGGTGTGCCCTGTGAGGTGTCCCCATTGTGGCTGGACAGAGATGTGCCACCAGCAGTCAGCACACCAGCAGTCAGCAAAGAGCCTCCAGCTGTCCCTTCCGTGTGACTTCAGCTGCAGAGAGCCACCTCACCCAGGGCCTTGACCTTCTTCCCAGGGTGACCCAGTGAGGGGGCGTGAATGCAGGGGTACAAAGCCTGGTTATTTGGCCTAAAGCAGGCCGCTCTGACAAGCCATTTACCTTTAGAGCTCCGCGTGGGGCTGTGGTCAGCCAAGGCTGTAGTCAGGCCTGGACTGTGGCTCAGCTTCCGTATCTGCTGGTTCCTGCTTCCAGCCCTCCCTCCCACAGGGGGTGACAGGGCACTTTCAGTGGACACCCCACCTAGTGAGATCTCAGAGTCTGCTTCCGGGAAACACACCCAGTCTCTGATCTGCAGGAGCAGCTCCTGGGGCATGAGTGTCTCCCCATGCTGGCTGTGAGTCTACTGATGACAAATGCAGATTTTTAATATAATACAGACCCCGAACATAAGGCAAGTGCTTCCTCTGTAGTGCATCCAAAGAAATGGTGGGCTGTCACCCCAATGAAGAAAAAGAAATTGCTCTGTTGTCTTTATCAACAGATGACAATGCAGGCTTTTCCCATGTCACACAAGCCCTGTATAGTAGCTGCTGGTGACACCTCCTCACAGATTTCCTTTACTTGGCTGGCGCCTCCATCCCCCAGCTGCTGGGAGTTTGGTAGCTAACTGCTCACAGCAGCACCCTTCTTCTGAGAGCTGTCTTCATCTGATTGGAGTGACTTTGCCAGAGATGCCCAAGAGGTTGCATCCTAATTCCTAGAGACAGCCCAATGCCAATGCCTGATTGTACGGGACACGAAAGGCTGGCCCTTTTGTCTCAGGGGGGTATAAATCTAGGATGTCACTCATGCTGCAGAGTTCCCTTGGGAGCAGGCTGAGGCCTTACTATAGCTGTTCAGCTGGGCTGATGTGTTTGCTCAGCTTGGCCCTCAGCCCCACCCAGCTTCCCCCACTCCTCCTGGGTTTCACCTGAGACTTTTTCAATCGCTCACTTGTATGAGAATCTTGATGCAGGTTCTGCCTCTATGGAACTTGATCTAAGGAAATACTCTCTGGGTAATTTAAGGGATGTTTAAAATAATTTTGAATAGATGCAATGTTAGCCTTATTCATTGACTGTATGAGATAGAATTTCCTCTTCATGTTCCCCCCACTGCCTAGCACCGTCAGAGACATAGCAGGCTCTCAGTTTAACTTTGGCTGAGTAAAGAGATGAATGAACGCATAGCACACCATGTTTGTCCTTGTCCCCTTGCTTTAACAACCTGCAGTCAGTGCTAAGCCATTGGTCTGACACTGGCTCTCTCAAGCCCGAAGTGGCACCAGGGCTAGCAGCGATGTCGATGGGGTTAGTTTTCCCTAAAAGCAGAGAACTCATAACGTCCCACAACCAATCTTGTTTCCTAAAGGAAAGTGTGGCAGTTGTGAAGCTAATTCCATCTGATTCCAGGTGTTTTGCATACAACCCTCAAGGACCAGGGATGAATGAGAGACATAGAGGCCTTATTGAACTGAGCCAGGTTGACGGCCCCCTCCACTGGGGCAGGGGGGAGGGGAGGGGGGAGTGAGAGAGCTTTCCGGAATGGAAATGTAAATTTTCCAAGCTGCCTAAATGCTTTCCTTGGAGTTATTGGCAAGCTTTCACAAACGGTTATTAAAGATTATACACAGAAAATGTGCCGCTCTATATTTCAGTCTGTTTTTCTAAGCTTAAAAACTTAAGCAAATATTCAGTCGATGGTTGATTCTTAATTTTGCAACCTGTCTAAGTAAAGCGTCAAAGGCTATAAAATAGGCATTCCCAGAACAGCCACAGAATGTGTATGGTGTGCATCTCAAGCACAAGGGGGCAATTTCTTAAAGCTGTATATCACAAGAACCATTTGGGGGCCAGACAGACCTAGAGTTGGCACAAGGCTTTGCCACCCACCTGTTTGCCGGCACAAGACCTGTTGCTTTGACTTGTGGATCTCAGGCCCCTTCCCTGAGTTTGGGGAAATAATGCTTGCTCCTTAAATTTTACCGAGATAATGAGAGTGTCAGTTAGCGTTGATAGGGTGACCAACTGCGTCCCGGTTTGTCCAAGAATGACCTGTTTTCAAACAACGTCCTGCATCCTAGGAGCCTCTTAGGAAGGCTGCTCACCCCAGTGACAGCCGTTAACATTAATTCTACTCACAAAATGATGTCAGCCCCACATACCGAATTTACAGGGAAAACTCTAATTCTTCTGAAACCATAGCTATCGCTACTTCTTTTAAACGGCGTCACTAATAATAACCCGGTAAGACATGCATGTGGATAAAGGACAAACTGGAGTTCTGTCTTCCAGTGATGGGCACAGGTTTCCTGCCCCAAGCAAATCCATTTTCAAATAATTAAACGCTATTACATTTAGAAAAGTAAACGATTGGAATAACAGTGTGTTTGCTTGGGAGTGTTTTATAAAAGAGAAGCTTTCAAGTCTGAGGCATCCGTGGGGAAGATCCCACCCCTTTTACAGCAGCTCCCATACTCAGGGGTCAGGGGCACTGCACTGTAATTAGCACTTGGAGACCTCAGGTTCCCAGCCCAAATGGGAGGGAGAAAGAAGACGAGAAGGAGAACCACGATGCCAGATTATTTTCTACAGAAGTTCCAAGGAGTTGCTTTGCCCTTCAATGAGAAAAGAGCAGTGTGGACACACAAGGCAATTATACTATTTTCTTCCTCAGAGCCTATGAATGTTTTAAAAATATGCAGGTTTTTCCCTTCTGATGTAGCTTTCAACCAGCCAGACCTTTTTATTTAACCCACTCTCTTTATTCAATGGCAGGGAAAATAAACAAACAAAAAGTATCCTGATTGTAATTACTGGCTTTAAAAAAATCTTAGGGTTCTGAACTCAACGATGACAGAAGCCTGTTTGGCACCTTCAGTTTTCTTCTTGGCTGCCTGCTGAGTCAATCCTCCTCCCACGTCTAAAATTCTTGTTTTGTGAGTCCTATCACCATTGGCTCTCGTTAATGGGCTTCCTCTGGTTTCTCACCCAGTTTTACAGCTTTTCCATTCTCCCCTTGCCTCATTTTAATTTCCGCAGGTTTGGTACTCTGTGAATCATTGATTTTAATCCTCTTAACACTGCCTCTTTAATTAGAAGTAATTTATTGGCTGCCATTTCTCAAGGGTAAGCAGATGGAGGGTGATAACTTCCTGGCAGCCTCGAATGCAGATGGACTTGTTTCTCTTGGGGTTGAAAGTCAATGCCGCAGGTCATTCCCTGCAGAAGTGGGGACAGCCGGCTGCTCCAGGGGCACCGGGACCCAAGAGCACTGCCCAGTCTGCTTGGCCTTTTCTCACTCCTCCCCCCCCAAATGGAAACAGATGTTTCCACAATTGTATCTATACCTCACATAAGGTTGGATGGTTCTTTTTACAGTTCCTTGCAGATAATAAAGAAAAAACAGCTGAGATTAGGATTTCTCAGACGCTGATTTCCTGTATAACTAGTATGTTGAGTGTGCAATACATAATTACGGTCAAAGAAATCCAGAGGAGAGAAGGACACAGTGGAAAGCAACACGGGCTCCCACGCGCTGGCCGCGCCTGGGCCTCTCCCAGAGGTAACGGGCGAATGATTCCTTACGGAACGTGGCTGCACTTCCTGAGCACGCTCAGGCAGACGGCTACCTTCTTCTCTCTCCCCTCACTAGGTACCTCCTTCCTGGCCTCGGATCGTGGCTGGATTACAGATCTATTTGCTTGCTAACTTGCTTATTTTCTACACTCTCATGAGATTATAAGCTTTAAGAAAGTAGGGACCCAGTCTGTGGTGTTCACCACCGAAGCCCCAGAGTCTAACTTAGTGCCTGTCGCATAACAGATAATCTGTTGAAGAACACACGTGTGAACATAAATCTTCAGAGAGAGAGAGAGGAAAAATATCTCTGGAGATAGAACCTGTTTCCATTGCCCTGTGTAAACCCCAGCTTTCCTACAGGGTTCACAGTTATGTTCCTAGCTAACTGTCCCTGGCACTGTCCCTAGGAGGTGACTGGGACTGTTACTGTGCTCTCCTTCCTGAGAGGGAGCTGAGGTCACTCAGGCCATACAATTTGCCCAAGGTCAATGCCAATATAGGTGGTGTGCTG